TCCTCCTGCTGGTCTTCACAAAGGTAAATTCCTGTGGCAGAGTATCTTATTTTAAGCCTGATGTTCTTGACTCCCACAGTTACCACTGAACCAGGACTATCACTCCAGCCTCAGGCCTGGTACATATTCTGCCCACGCAGGCCAATGCAGCCTACAGCCAGGAAAAATTGCCAACTGTGTCAAGCATTCAGCTGCCTTGGCCCCTTGGCCCTCCCTATTTGTGCCAGAAGAGTTAGTTGCAATACCTCCTGGCCGGGAAAAGAGTGCTCTAGATTCCTCTCTCTCTCTCGGGCACCTCAGGGACACAGAAGCCTAGAAGCAGTTCCCTTCAGCGTATTTGAGTTTTCAAGGTAGGCAAGATAATTTAATCAGAGGTTTTGCCACTGCCTACCCCACAGACAGTTTCTGTAGCCAAGTCCTTATACATCATTTGGTCCACTAACCGCACCAGCAATCATGTTTGTGGACAGCCACAGTCGTATTCATCTCCAGAAGATTCAAGATACCACAGAGGTGTCTGTTACGCATGGAGGTTTTGCTAACTAACTTATCCCGATAACTGAAAGCTTGGCTGAATAGGACGCAAGATTCTCTGGAGGTGCAAACTGAGAGAAAGGGCATCCATTTGGTATGAGAAGCACCGTGCTAAATGCCACTAACTGACATTCTCACTTAACACGAGCACGTGAATGTTTTGCCAGCTACAAGGATCCAAGGGTAGTTAACGGTTTCTTCCCGTTGGCTTGCCCATACAAAACAAGCCCCCACCAGGACCAACGCACAGAGCGCCATCACCCACCATGGGTACAGCTAGTGCACCTGACCCCGTGCCATCAGAGGATGAGGGAGGAACTGGAGTCGGCAGCATAAACTAGCCTGCCGCTGACTTTTCACTGAACTGGATCTGAGGTGAAATTTCCAACCTTGCTCAGTCATCCTCTGCCCAACCCATAAACCGAGAACACAACATTCTCGCTTAAAACAGAAGTGAACTGAAATTAACCCCGAGCAATTTCCCCACAGGGGATTCTTAAATGAAATAAAAAATAAAAGCAATGAAATGACTTCTAATCTTGGTAACGTAGGAAAGATAAAGATCCCGATGCCCACCCCCTTGAGTCAGAAGGGAACTGCTTACAACCTGCCACAGAGCGGCCAAGCACCTCCTGAAGCTTTTTTCTTCTGCTGCACGAAGAGAGAACAGGGAGCTTTCTCCTTGCATGTGACTTTGATTACAGTATATTCCTACTAAGGATAATTGCCTGGGTTGAATTTATCTATGTTTTAGCTAATAAACTGTAAGGACCACCACTGAAGGGGGAATAATGGAGTGCAGCTGTTAGAATCAAAGCCCATTTCTAGGTCAAGGCGAGTCTGGGAGAGGCAACGGAGGATGATCTCCTCTGGGAAAGCGATACCTAACAGGAAACAACTGAACGAATCCCAAGGCAGTTTTCATTAATCTCTAAGATATGTTACTGGAGAACTCCTAGATCAGGATGAAGGGAGGAGGGCATAAGCTTGAATGCCTATGGTGCTTCTCATTAATACATAAACAGATCCCACGGCTCTTTCAAAAATGTACTGGAATCCATATGCATATACTCTCCCTCTTTCCCTCCCTTGGCTCCCTGCTTCACATGCACAAATGTAGCGGGGGAAGAGGAACCATCCAGGTTCACCCTAAAGTGCAGCCAACTCGAGTGTGAAACAGATCATACGTAGACATGCATTTAAAATAAAAGCTGCAGCTGCACTCAGCCTGCAAAACCGCAAAGACAGAGAGAAGCAAAGGAATGAAGGGGGGGGTTCAGAATGGGGGAAATCGAGGGCAAGGAAACTGGGGAGCACGAGAAATGGAGTGGCCAAGTCGGGGAGCATGGCGCGAAGAAACTGACCCCACCTTTAAAGGATAAGCAGTCAGGGCTTCCGTTTCAAACCTTCTGGAGTCTACAGGCTAAACTGCAGGTCTGAGACCACCTTGTTAGTATTTAAGCCTCCCAGATCACCAGAGGATCCAGTGTGGATTCACAACCTCAGTGGGAGTAAAATGAGAACAGCATGCGAGCTACTTCACCTAGCAGCTGCAAAGTCCATTAAAATGAGGATGGTCTGCATCGGCAAGTAACGTGTATCCCCCCCCCCAGCTACTTGTATGTTCCGAAATGCTCCCGCTTGCAGGGCTAATTTAATAGGCAGCTTTGTGTGCAGGCGCAACACCTCCTCACCTCCTGCTTTACCCCTGAAAAACTTTCCCAGGCTCTTCTCCCTGATCATTTGGCCTTGCTTTGGGTGCTGGGAACTCGAAGGAGGGAGGAATTGGGGAGGTGGCACAAAGGTGCAACACCCCCTCTCTCAAATTCCTGGGTTTCCCCATAAATGCCCCAAGCACAGGGTGGGCCCATGCCTTGTTTTAGAGGAGAACAGTTCCTCCTGGAGGCACAATGCCCCAACTTTTTTGCAACCCTCCCCCCTCAAAATGGGACAATGGGGGTCTTGAACCCTCTAATACAAAACAATTAATCTAAACCTTTGCACCAACATAGCCTTGCCATGCTCCATTCCAATGCTGCATCCACTGAAACATTACTAGGTTGACTTGGGCTTTCCACTGGCACATGGTTTATCGCTCCCTGGTGACATGGTACAGATTTCTTATGTGTAGGAGAGATGTCTATGATGCATTTGTTTTAAAGAGAAAAAAATCTGGAAGACAAATGCAAAGAATTTCATTGATATACACTCTGCTGGAAAAATGTCCATTTCACAGCGGGCATTAAGGTAAACCGCCCAGAATGGCACTGACAGCCAGACAGGTGGCATAAAAATCGAATAAATAAATAAACAAATAAGTGCCTTTTTTCAGTCTCAAATGAGTTCCAGCTTTGATACATAAGGAAAAATTTCATTTCTCAATCAGTACAAAAGTTGAAAGGAAGCACAGAACTACCCTTTCAAACATCCTAATTTTCCGCTGGCTCAACATTCCAATTAGGTGGAAGCCATAGACCAATGCTTACTGGATCAGAGTTCAGCATGAGCCCAGCATACTCTATCTGCAGGTGGCAGCCAGCAAGCATAGAACCTCATCAAGCAGTTTTCCTTACTTTGACTTGCCATCCCACATTTTAGTCTACATAACACAATAGCTCCTTCAATACAAAAAATTAATATGAATGATACATATTTCTGCACTTGACACATAATGGCTGAAATCCTGTTGCAGAGTTAAGCGAAAGGTGTAAATTGTAGAGGCAAACTGCTGTAAGCTAAGAAATCTCCACAGACATTATCTGTTGCATGCCATGTAACATGACTTGAGTGGTCTGGTAGTCCAGATATGGCGGGGTATAAATCAAACAAACAAACAAACAAACAAACAAACAAACAAACAAACAAACAAAAGTCTATGGAGATTTCCGAACTTGTGCCCATTTGTCTCTAAATGACTTTTGTATAATTGCATAACAGGATTTCAGCCAATGTGGCACTCCTTGCATGAGTCTGCTCAACTGTTGTGTCTTCGTTTATGACTCCTAATACACACTGGATTAAAAAGGGAAAATACTTTGGCGAAAGAAGCACCACCATGGAACAGCCAGTCCAATGAAAGATGCAGGGGAAAAAGAGAAACGGAACTAGAGAGACTAGCGAGAGGAACTAGCAGACCAGAAATCAAAGAGAGTGGTTCCCTAACCTGATTACTGAACTCTTCTGCAACAAAGGTGTCTCTCTTTAATAAATTTTAATAAACATTGTGGGGCTGCAATTTCCATCATCTCTCATCGCTGGCCTAGGCTGTTAGGGCTTCTGAAAGTTGCAATTCAAAAACATTTGAAGGGCCACCCCTTTTCCACCTCTGGTGTAAATGGGAGGACGGAGGGCATGGCAGAGCGCTCGCACGCAGTTGTTCCAGAACTGAGATACTGCACTAGCTTTGCTTAACGATACAAGCACAGGGCAACCATACTAACAGCTTAAGACTGTTATTTTAGTTTCCCGCTTGAGATTAGAGACAACAAAAATGTCAGGTGTAAAATAAAGTTGTTACTGAGCAATTTGCCTCACTCACTGTCTTATTAAAGTCATTTTATTCTCTCTCATACTACTTCCCCGTAATAAAGAAGTAAATGCAAAGATGAACTCATTTGGTTGCAGTAATGGAAATTCTTCTTAAACATTTAAGGAGTTTGTGATGCTTGCTTATAGCTCCAGTAAATGCTAATGAGACTTAAAATATAGGAAAATGCTCACAGACTTACAAGATAAAAGTATGTCTACAGGGTTAGATGTACTGCTGGGTGAAAATGGGTTTTTAAATAGAACACCTTTACATTTTATCAGCCTCAGGAAGGGAGGGGCTTCTTTTAATATAAAGATGACAGCAGTCTTACGATCCCAGAGTACGGTCCAGCCCTGTCCCCCTCAGTCTACCCATCAGGATAGCAAAATCTACCGATCAGGTCCCAAGCCAACATAAACTTGAACAGGTGTGTTGCAGAGCTGTGGCTACACAAAGTCAAAACCTGCTCCAAGATTATCAAAATTCTGCAACAGAGTTCTACAGCTTACATGAATTAGGCACTGTTGGTAAATCCGGCCACATGTTTTTCATTTTGAAATGGTTAGCCCCATAGGAAAAAGGTTGGGATTCGGGCCCCCAGAGCAACAAAAAATAACAGGTTTTGACATACTGATAAAGTAGTTTTCAAAGCTGAAATACTGGTGTGTGGGATTCTTACTATAATTACCTCTAATGTTTTAGAATGTTTTGACTTTGTATTTTCAATCTTTCCTCTCTAGTGATGAAGGCTAGAAATTCAGGGTTGGGTTTTTCTTTCCCCAAATGCAAGTTGGGATTTGCAGAACTTCACACGCCTTCGTGGGCCTGAACCACTGTTCCTCGAGGGGGTACACATATTACTCGCCCCCATGTTACATCATGCTTTTTCCATCAGGACTGAAAGAGCAATTGCTGTTGCAGAAACACTGCTACTTACTTTTTCAAGGGCTCTATGACGGTCTTTTGGATTTGGTTCACCTGTCCGGAAGAGAAGAAGAGTTTGTTAACAAGACGTGGCGGGACGGACAATTTGAACTGCAAGTGAAACCTGCAACAAATTGTTGAGATGTTCCCTCGTCTTCCAAACAGGACTGCTGCCGTTCAGGGCTCATGCCAGCCAGCTACTCCCCATCTCCAGGTCACTAATTTCAATTCCCCATTCCCTCTCTCGTTTCTATTTCCAAGTGACACTCAACATGCTGTGGCCAGTGAGAATGTTAAATCTTTATTTGGTGATTTGGGAAGGAGATTTCTTCCTTTGGATTTCTGTGCTCTTCTTGTTGTTTTTAATGAGTTGTGGGAAGGAGTACACCTGGAGACTTCGGGAATCCCCTTCCTGTTTGCTAGTGGGTCCATTTGGGTTCCTTTTCCATTAGCGCTCTCACCTGGCTGGTTGTTAGAAAGAGGACTGTATATACAGTGACAAAGGACACACATGGAATATGCACCATCATTTCCACTTGGCTAGGCTTAGGAAATTCAGATGCAAATCATGCTCCTCCTTCCTCTGGGCAATCGCTCACTCATCATCATCAGCAGCAGCAGCACACTTCCATCTTGCACCTCCCCTGGGTGATCGTCCACTCCAAAGCAGCCCCACAGGTTCGCCTGCCCTGCCTCCTCGTCTCGGTGGGCGGCTCCCGGACAAGACGGAGGAGGGAAGTGAATGGGCCGTCGCCCAGAGGAAGGAGGGTAGGGTAGTGCACAGCGCCTGCAGAATACCTGTGCGGGTGCTGCGCCACACCCTATCTGAGGTTCGTGCCCATCTCTACCCTCGGTTATTTAAAGAAGAAATCTGAAATGTACGCCCCACAGTTGGATAGCAAATTCTACAAAATGCAGCATGATAGATTTTTATATCCTCTGATATGGAGCTGGTACGTTTCCGACAACAACATACATAGACCTGAGAAGACGTCTGAGAGAAGCACAAACAGGATTCGATCTCCATTCCCAGGTGCCCTCTCTCTCTCCCCACCCACACACACACACACTGAAATTTACCTTCTCTTGATTAAAAGAATCCATCCTCTTCATGGCTGTATCCAAGGCCATAACCATCTCTAGGAATTTGGGGTCTTGCTCACAGAGTGGATTGGACAGTAGGTCGGATGAAATTTTCACAGAAGACTTTGACATGGCTATCATCAGGACAGAACCAAAGAAAAACAAAGGAAGTTTGCTGGTGATCAAGAGCTATCATGGTCCACACATACGGGAAGGGTGCTATCAAGAGGCACAAGGGCGCACTGAACGCCCCTGTTGTTTCCCTCAGCAATTCATTTCGCAATGGTGCTTATTTGATGAATACGAACTTTCTCCATGACTTGCTCACAGTCTTGTTTGCATCCTGACAGAACTGTTACTCAGCGTATTTGGAATGGGCTGAGTCACTGGGGAAGATAGTGCTTTGTTTGGCATGTTTTACATACAGCTGGAGCCACAATAACACTTCGATATTAATGGCAAGGTGTAAAAGAAGCTGAGTACAATGATTACACAAATAGTCTTAGTAAGCTTATGGGTAAAAAAAATAAAACTTGATTGTTTCAATAATAAGGAGATATTCCTACAATACATATGCGACATTTAAATACAACCTGCCTGCTACTACACGCAACAAAGGTCAGAGAATCGAAAAGAAACTGAAAATAATGAGCCATAGCTAAAGCCTTGTATTTTTGTGCTCCCACCTCCGCTGCCCTTCGCTGGCACAGCTACAAGGAAGTCAAATGTTTCTGCTCCCATATGTGGCATGGCAGCTTAAACTAACTGCTACCACTCACTGGTCTGCAGCACTTGGCTATGAAGCCAGGAACGGTCAGTATGGAAGAGGACAACCAACAGAAGCCACAGAAAGTGTGGAAGAAAGGGTGAAGAGGGCCTACCTGTGGGCATCTCCCCCCTCCCCGGACAAGCTGTATAGTCCCAGACTACCACCAACAACCAACAGAAGCCACAAAAAGTGTGGAAGAAATGGTGAAGAGGGCCTACTACCTGTGGGCATCTCCCCCCTCCCAGGACAAGCTGTATAGTCCCAGACTACCACCAGAAGGAGAGACTGGTAAATCAACCTAAATTGCAATTGAGAATTGCTATAAATTGGATTCAACCGGATGTCATACTATTACTAATGGTGGCATGGTTAAGGGAAACATGTAGGGTGTATAAATCTCAATTTCAAGTGATCTTGTTTCCATTACTGGTTAACCACAGATGGGTTTAAACAAAGTAAACTACAATCAATGTCAAATGGAAGTGAACATTCACAAGCTCCTCCTCATGGCTGGGGTCCCCAACCTTGGGCCTCCAAGATGTTCTTGGACTTCAACTCCCAGAAACCCTGGCCAGCAGAGGTGGTGGTGAAGGCTTCTGGGAGATGAAGTCCAAGAACATCTGGAGGCCCAAGTTGGGGACCACTGGCCGCTAAAGGGTCAGGCAACTGACAGCAAGAGGTCTAATGCTGTTCTCCTGTTTGTGGAACTAGGAGAGAAAATCTCTTGCCTAAATCACCAAGAGACTCAATGAAGACACATAATATGAACTGAGGATGTTCTGATTCAGAGCTCAGCTTCTTAGCCCCACAATGGCTGGCCATTGCCCAACCTATCATAACCCTTTCCAGGAAGCAACACGCTACATGCATTTACTCTCATAACCATTCTAGAAGATAAGCAACTATAACTGTGCAGAACTGAGAGGATCACTGCTCAGAGTGACCAGAACTGAGATTTCAACCAAAAATTTACCATTACAAGGCCAGAACCATCCAATATGTTCTCTCAGTGGATCAAGGAGATAGGTTTTTCAGGAACTCATTCATTAGCTCATGTCTATTTGAACAAAGTGAAACACGAAGCACAGACACTCCAGAATGCCTAAAATGCTAATGAGAAACCTTCCAGGAACAATAACCGATGGCTTGGAAGAAGAGCTATTAATGAATTTGTGTAAACAGCGAGATAATAGCTCATATATAATCAAGTCCATACTGTTTAAATGCACCATTTATAATACTGGATGAGTAAGGTTCTCTCTAGAAGAGGCATATGGGTGGCTAGACACAGCTTGCCTTTTTTTTCTCAGGGCTGTTAAGCACTGCAGTGCTTTCAAAATGAAACAATCACAGCCTATTAAGCTTTTGTGGCTTTTCAGTAGCTTTGCAAAAATTATCCTGTGGCAGCTGTGACAAGATAATGAAGGTAAAGCAAAGATTCCCGTGCACACTTACCTAGGGGTAAGTCCCACAGTATGGATTAATGCCCAAGAAAATGCATCTAGGATTCTGTTGCTACGATAGCACCACACCTTTCAACTGGGGAATCTGTGGGACTCCCAAATGTTGTAGAGCTCCAGCTTCCAGTCAGCCAGGGTGGCCAGTGGCCAAGGATGATCAGAGCTTAGTCCAACGTCACCCAGAGGATCTGAGATTCTTTCCCTCTGAGCCACAAGGAATGCACTAGACTAAGGACCGGAGAACAGCCAACCCAGGAACCAAAATTGCAGAGTTCAAGAGCAGAGTGGCTCCTTGAACTTGGGCACGAATCCTAGACGTGATGTTCTTGACTGGCACCAGCTGATGTCCTGTTGCTCATCTTTGCCTTTTTCATGTGAAAAACCCTCTTTGCCTAATTTGTTACGTATGATGTCACACTGACCCCATTGGTGCATGTTAAACGATAACTTTACTCTCAACAAAACCACTGCCAACATCTTCTAGAGCACGAGGTAGTCGCATCCTTGGAAGGCAAATCTATATGCCATCTTTCTTTTTAAGTAAAAATGGCAAGAAACAAAGGAATAAATCGTCTTTCAGCCTGTTCACAGGAAGAAAACAATGTGATTGATATCCCACTTGTTCTCATTTCACAGTCAACATTTTTGGGATGTGAACTGGGAAAGAAAATGATGGATACTACTCGAGTTTCTTGGAGGAAAGGTGGCCTATAAAATGAAATCAGTATAAATAGCATTTCTACTGAGGTTAATCAGACTGCAAAGGAAGTCTAAGTTCTGAGCATATTGTCATCAAAGGAAAAATTCCTTTTTTTCTGCCTTTAATTCAGCAAATGAAGGTAAAACTGATTTTGAACACAAGAAAAACGTTTATACTGACATAAGAAGCATACAGAAAAATTCATCAAACAGATTCAAACCTGCACTTTATAGCAATGATTCATGGGACGAGTTATTTGGAACTGACCTCTGAAACTTGGAAACTACTTTCAAGAATAATTCCTTTTCAAAAAATTTTTTAAAAAAAGGAATCTAAGAACTAAAGAAAGACGATAATCAAACAAACTTGTGAAAGGAAGCAAAGAACCACAAGAGAGATGTTTCCAGATGAGGACTTGTGAAAAAGAACAACAGGGCAACGGCCACTGTCTGTACAGGAAAGCGCAGCGCTGGGCTTCTCAGATTCATAAATCAGGCACAGCCCTGGCATTCTCTCTTGTGTATGATGCCCACAACTTGGAAAAGGTTACTTTCTCTCTCTCTCTTTTTTTAAAACTACAACTTGTGGAACTCACCGGCCAGTCCTAGGATTGGCCATCCTGGATGGGAAATCCTAGCAGCCGTAGCCCAAAAGGCAAGTCCACGCTCTGATGTTGCTAATGAGACAGGTGGACACTGCACTGCTAAGTATGCACCCAGGACTTAATTAGACCCTGGAGGGAAATCAGGAGAGAAGCTGTATGGCTAATCAAGCCTGACTGGATACCTGGGGCTCCATAAATGACCGACCCTTCCTCACTGAAAGGCAACAGGAAGATTATATGGGATGGGGGAAGAGGCAACAGCGATTCCGCCAGCACTGGAAGAGGCAGAAGCCTGCTTGAGTGGTATCCTCACCTCCCCTAGTTGGATGGGAAACTGGGAGGGAGGGGAGTTATCCTTCAGAGGCATTGAACAATTAAAACGGCCTAACCCCATTCAATCAGGTTTGAGTTTTGTTTCAGTTTCCACTCACCAATTTGGGGGGGGGCATGGGGGGGAAATAGCCACTCTCATGTCATAATTCAAGCTGACATGTCTTTAAATGCAAAATCATCTCCAATTATCTGGACAAAGTCTGAGCTAATCTGTGACAATGCCACGTAGCTGAAGGGAAGGGGTGAGTCCTCCTACAGATCCTTTGGGGCTTGAAGTGATCTATATAAAAACACCCACTAAAAGGAGAGGAGAGAAGAATTCTCTGCGAGGAAAATATTACTAGGGGAATCTCAACAACAGCCAAACCAGAGGACCTTTTAAAAAAAATCTGTTGTTTATTTCAAATCTGGAACAAGTGTGCTTTAAGAGTCTTGTGGCACAGTGGTTAAAGTGCAGTATTGCAGTGAAGACTCTGCTCACAACTTGAGTTTGATCCTGGGCTCAGGTAGCTGGCTCAAGCTTGATTCAACCACTCATTCTTCTGAGGTTGGTAAATTGAGTACCCAGCTCCCTCCTGGGGCAATGAGTAGTCTACATAATTAAACTGTAAACTATCCAGAGAGAGTTTTAAGCACTATGGAGTGGTATATAAGCAGCACTCCTTGTAGCCACAGATTTGTGAGAGGTGGATACTGGAAAGAAGGAAGAGAGGGGGAAAGGCAAAAGAGCATGAAGTGACCCTAGCCATTTCTGATACCAGGCTCCCAGCAGATTACTGGAGGAAATATAGTTCCCATCAGAAAGGATTCACCACATTTGTTACCACTTCTGTACAGGCCTTAGTTTCTTCCCTGCCAGTCCTGCTGCATATATTCAAGCAAAAAGAAATCGGAATTAAACATTATGCTACATTCTCGTCTCAAAAAATAATACAGAAGAACAAGCCTTACTGAGGGGAAATCAGCATGGCTTCTGTAAGGGTAAGTCTTGCTTCACAAACCTTTAGAATTCTTTGAAAAGGTCAACAGGCATGTGGATGTGGGCGAACCAGTGGATATGGTCTATCTGGATTTTCAGAAGGTGTTTGATGCAGTCCCTCACCAAAGGCTGCTGAGAAAACTCCACAGTCAGGCGATAAGAGGGCAGGTCTCTTATGGACTAAGAATTGGTTGAGATCCAGGAAGCAGAGAGTAGGTGTCAATGGGCAATTTTCACAATGGAGAGAGATGAAAAGCGGTGTGCCCTAGGGATCTATCCTGGACCGGTGCTTTTCAACCTGTTCATCAATTACCTGGAGACAGGGATAAGCAGTGAGTTGGCCAAATTTGCAAATGACATGAAACTTTTCCTGGTGGTGAAGACCAGAAGGGATCGTGAAGAGCTCCAGAAGGATCTCTCCAAACTTGGAGAATAGGCGGCAAAATGGCAAATGCATTTCAATATAAGAAAGTGTAAAGTAATGCACACTGGAGCAAAAAAAAAAAAAAAAATCAAAACTTTATTTATCAGCTAATGGGTTCTGAGCTGTCCGTGATGGATCAGGAAAGAGATCTTGATGTGCTGGTGGACAGCTTGATGAAAGTGTCAACCCAGTGTGAGGCGGAACTGAAGAAGGCTAATTCCATGCTAGGTATCATTAAAAAGGGGAATGAAAATAAAACAGCCAACGTTATAATGACATTGTGCAAAATGCTGGTACGGCCACATCCGGAGCACTGCACACAGTTCTGGTCGCCGTACCTCAAAAAAGACATAGTGGAACTGGAAAAGGTGCAGAAGACAGCGACTAAAATAATTACTGGGCTAGAGCACCTCCCTTATGGGCAAAGGTAAAAGTATTTAGGGCTCTTTAGTGTAGAGAAAAGGTGCCTGAGGGGGGACATGACTGAGATGTATATAAAATTATGCAGGGGATGGATAGAGTGAAGCTCTTTTCCCTCTCACGCAACACCAGAACCAGGGGACATCAACTCAAATTGAGTGTTGGGAGAGTGAGAACAGACAAAAGAAAATCTTTCTTTACCCAGTGTGTTGTTAGTCTCTGGAACTCCTTGCCACAGGATGTGGTGATGGCATCTGGCCTAGATGCTTTTAAAAGTGCATTTGGACAGATTCCTGGAGGAAAGTTTCATTTTGATTCCTGACAAAATATTGGCAACCACTTTAGGGATTCTGAAAGCCACACTCAGTGACTGGAGAAAATAATAATCTTCTCCAATCTCCTTCACGTTGTTTAGTCTCGTCTTATCCATGTTTGTTTAAGTCTTATAGTATGAGATGTGGTTGAATGGACTTACTACTGAAGAAGCTAGTAGTAACACAGCATGATGAGGCTGAGCAGAAGAAAATGAACACCTGGAGGCCAGATGTTTCCTTTTCAAAACCCTGAAGTAAACAGCTGTGCCAGTAAAAAGAAAGAGAAACAGAGACAGCCAACTTGCTCATTGCTTCCTACGCTTATCACTAGTTCCTAGCAAAACCAACCTAAATGAAGCATTAGTCAGGAACTGCTTGGGTATTTTTTTTCCTTACAAATCAATAAAAAAAAGATTTGCTACTCATTCACACTAATTCATTGGTACACCACAGTTTAAAAGAAGACATGATGACTCTAGAGGGATTTAAGGAACTGTGGGGGAACCATGCCACCCCCACACGATGTGTCCAGTGCAAATGCATGCAAAGGGTTTTATTCCTACTTAATGCACCCAACGTTACCCACCTAGATCTGCATCTGTACTTTTCTTCATGTCCTTCTGAAGCTTCTTTGTCTGATCTTCCAACCTAAAAAACAGCACATCGAGTTTTGTTTTGATTTTAAAAAGAAAAAAGAAGAAGAGTATAACGAAAGCATTCCTGCTTGTAAGGCAGTTTGCATACGACTAGGAAGGAGAAGAAGAGGAAGAGCAATGGGGCAGCCGGACCCACCACTGAGAAGGCTGGAGGGTGACATGAAACATTAACAATCATCTTTGGCTCCCCTTGTCAAGAAAGTATCAACACCAAGTAACTGGGTGTGTTGCGCTGTTATAAAAAGGAAGTCTTTTTTCCCCTCTTGAGAATATTCTCATTTATATGTCATGAAGAATTCATAACAGGGGGGTGGGTGGTGGTGGTTTGAAGGCAGGAAGGCTAGCAACCATTTTTATAAGGCTAACATCTTTTGTGGAGTTACTTATCAGGCTGAAGAAGGCTTATATAACGAAACATAGCGGACAACACTGAACAAACTGATAGTCAACAGATCAATCTTAGAGGTTACTGCAGAGATGTGGCTATCAAAACGATATCAGCGTGCAATACGCTCACAAATCCTAGCTAAGGTTTTCCCCTTCCCTTTTCTTCCTTCTCTGTCTTCCTTCGGTTTCTCAATGGTTTAAAATCTATGAATGGAAGAGCACTGCTAAGGCAGGTCAAAAGTTTATGTAACAAAACATTCTGCTTCGGCCAAGCGGATACCTTCAAGAAGCTAACAAGGGGGCACAAAGACAACAGTCATCAGAACATGTGGTTTAGACCGTTGTTGGAAAAGGACCTTTATGGAATGTAGCGCCAATCCAACATGGCCATGGCTGTGGCAACTAGGGGATTCTGGGATCTACAGTACAAATACACCTTCCCCAAGCTCTGGCTGCTGTTTCCACCAGGATTCTTCATTTTAAACCCAAACTGATTTCTACGTACAGTGGTGCCTCGCTTGACGAAATTAATCCGTTCCAGCGAAATTGCTGTGGAGCAAAATAGTCGTCAAGCGGGCAAAAAAACCCCACTGAAACGCATTGAAAACCGCTCAATGCGTTCCAATGGGCTAAATACCTAATCGTCCAGCGAAGATCCTCCACAGGGCGGCCATTTTCTGGTGCCTGTCTTGCGAAAAATCCATCCTAAAAACAGCAGGGAGCCATTTTGCACAGTGGGCGGCCATATTGAGAGCCACAGATCAGCTGTTTTTAAACCAGCGTTAAGCGAAAAATCAGTTCCCGAAGCAGGGAACTGATCATCGTAAAGCGATTTTCTCCCATTAAAACATCGTTTTGTGATGGCTATAGCGATTGCATAAACCTCATTGTCAAGCAGTTTCGTCATTTAACGAGGTAATCGTTAAGCGAGGCACTACTGTATCTGTCACACTAATGCCTCTTATGTCAATGCCTCTGGCTCTGTGTATTAAATACAACAAACCTGATTACCCTGTTTCCCCAAAAATAAGACCTAACCTGAAAATAAGCCCTAGTATGATTTTTCAGGATGCTCGTAATATAAACCCTACCCTCAAAATAAGCCCCAGTTAGGTGAAAACCCACCTTCCACCCTTGTGCAGCAACCAGAAGAAGATGACAGAGCTGTCTTTGAATAAATGTAGATGGTTGTAGATGCAAAAAATAAAACATCCCTTGAAAATAAGCCATAATGCATTTTTTGGAGCAAAAATTAATATAAGACCCTACCATATCTATGGGGAAACACGGTACTTTGGCACCTGCCGATACACCATGAAATAGATTTTTATGACGGGAACCTTTTGCCAGGTCTAGCCTTCTTGGAAATGTAAACAGCAGGTACTTTCTTAGCGTGGAGCCTTGTGGGTGAAGGGAGACTCCCCCAGAAAAGACGTCTATTTGGAAGTCTCGTAAAAGGCTAGGCCATGAAAATTAGGTAGCCAGCATCTGGCCTTTCAGATGTTGTTGGGTTGGTATTTCGGTCAGCTATGAGAGCTAAGGACAACAGAAAAATTTAGTCTGGCCAGTTTGGTGACAGCTGGAAAAAGGTAGTATCTTGTATTCTAGAAATGACAATGAATGTTAGTCTGTTTCAGAAGCCATCAAAACAAAAACAAAAGCATTTTCAATTTCATGTGGAAAATGCCTGACCCTGAAGCATGGGTCAAGCTAACATACATAACTTTTGTTTCACATGCGCAAGCACTGATGTTGCTTTTTATTATCATTAGAGAAATGGGCATGCCTAAATATTAAGATATGGAAAGATCAGTTGGGAGACAGCGTCTATCTTCGCAACTAATTGACCCTACCCTTGTCATTCTGGTGCTTTCCCAGAAGACAAAAGTAAATGGCCACCAACTACTCATAAAACAAATGGATACCCAATTGGAAGGGAGGGGAAAGTCAGAAGACAGAAAGCCTCGGGAAAGCTGTCTTTTCAGATTGCACCTCCCACATTTCCCCACTTCCAGAATCTCCAGGCCAATTTTTTTCTGGACCACAACAGAAGACTCAAAAAGGAACCTTCCCAATCTCTGGAACAGAGAGGCAGAAAATATTTTCAGGAATGAAACTAGGTGTGAAGGCGTCTTTGCAAGAGTAAAAAGCTTATGTGAACAAGCTGAGGTCTAGGACTGCAGCAAGACAGCTGCAGGAAGAACAGCCAGGCAGGGAGGGAGGGGACTTGCCGAAAAAGGACCAAATCCACTTGCCGTCCAAAGACCGGGCAGAGGCTCAGTTACAAGCGAGAGACAGACTTTCATATAACAATACTCCCACACGGAAGGCACTCTTATTGGGGAGAAAGGCATTCACATGTCCGTGCACAGATCATTATGTGCACTTGACAAGAGAACATCACTCATACACATAACACAGAGATGGTGAGAAGATGCAATGGTTGCCGATTGTTTCTCCATCATCTGCATCTTTACTGGAACCTCTCTTAAATGCCTTCTGGGCAGGAGTTTTGTGGTTGGTGGAATGCTCCTTAGCCCTAAACAGGCAGTGGTAAAATCAGCAAGAGATCAGCAAGGATAAAGCCAAAGGGAATCCAGGATGGAGCAGGATCCAAAAGAGGGAACACACTCAGGCAAGAATAAGGGAGAATACAGATCGGGAAGAAACGCCCACTTTAACAAGCTGGTTAGGAACACTTACTGTTGAAGCTTTCCATACTCCCGTTCAAAATCTCTCTCGACCTGTATAAATGGAAGATAAGCCTGGTCAGCTAATATACATTTTAAAAACATCCCATAAGCCCACACAATACAGCTACCACCTGTATTTCTAAGTACTGTACTGTTTTTAAAAGCCAGTTAAAAACTTGGTTATCCAAGAAGGCCTTCCCTCCAGTCAATTAAGTCTTTCTCTCTCTCTCTCTCTCTCTCTCTTTTTTTTTTTGGCTCTTCCATCTTGGTAATCCTCTCTTTAAATTAATTGTTTTAAATTGAAATTTGTAATTTTATGATTTTATATATTTTTATACTGTTTTGTTTTATTTTGTAAGCCGCCCCGAGTAGACATGGTCTAGAGGGGCGGGGTAAAAATCAAATAAATAAATAAATAAATAAATAAACCCAAGAATAGGCTACTGTGTTTTCCCGAAAATAAGACAGGATGTTATATTAATTTTTGTTCCAAAAAAAAACAAAAACCCTAACAACAACACACACACACACATTAGGACTTATTTTCAGGGGATGTTTTATTTTTTTCATGTACAATCTACCTTTATTCAAATACAGTTGTGTCATCTTCGGGCTGCTGCACAAGGGTGGCGGGCAGGGTTTCAATTAACTAGGGCTTATTTTGGGGGTAAGGCTTATATTATGAGCATCCTGAAAAATCATAATAGGGCTTATTTTCGGGGAAATAGGGTAGTTTACAAATAACAATAGGTAACCCCAAATTCTGCTCAAGAATCTTACTTGCCAGGAATTCTCTCTCTGTTATCTACAGAAAAGAAATACCAGCCCATATGCATGGGGAAAGTTCTGAAAGCTAGAAACCAAAGCAAAAAATCCTAATATTTAAACAACTCTCCATAGCAGAGTTTTCAGATTCTCAACAACCACATGTTGGGAGGCTCAGTGCTGAATGATGAATGTAGCAATTCATTGAACCATCCATTTTTTGATATTGGGGAAAAGATAATAAAAACCATTTTGAAGCCAAAAATCCTCAGCTAATAGTGAATGCTATACATTGCATGGTCTCTGGTAGCTACACAGTGGAAATGCATGCTTCTGAAATTTCTCTTTTAATATTTTTTTTATATTTTCAGACCACAGGTAAGGGAAACCGTGAATACTGATCCTGCAGATATGGGGTCCTACTGTACTAGTAGAGTGAGAAATGCCCATGAATTTATTTTCCGTTCTTTTTTTCTTACTTACTTTCACTTTTCAGCCTTGTATATTACACACATATTTCGCTTCATCATTAAACGTCACTCCCTTGGATTCACCTCCAAGGCTGCCCAGAGGCCATCTCTTTGACTCATACGCTTCTGTGGACTGCAGCCCACTGCATTAAATGCACCTGACGAAGTTGGATACAGTTCACAGAAGCTTGTAACAGATAGAACGTGGTTAGTTTTTACGGTGCCCAAGACCACCAGTCTTTAGGTTGTGACAGACTACAACCAACCACTTACCCAGAAACTACAACTATCAATGCAAGCAGCTTCTTGAGAGTCTTCATTGAAATCTTATAAGCTGCATTTCGCTCCAAGTACAGTACCCGAATACCAGAGTAGCACTTCCTACTCTCATAAAGCTCTTGTTGTTACATACCGTCAAGTTGGAGCTAACATGTATGTATGTATGTATGTATGTATGTATGTATGGATGGATGGATGGATGGATGGATGGATGGATGGATGGATGGATGGATGGATGGATGGATGGATGGATTGGATTTCTATTCTGCACATCTAGACCAAAGGTGTACTGGACCGTAAACAGGCTTCCAAAGTGAGATATTTAAGGAGTTGTTTCACCAATTCCACACACCACAGCGAGTTTCTGTGGCTGAACGGGGAATCAGATCCAGACCCCCTGAGTCCTGATCGGTCACTCGACCCACTACACCACACTGAGAATCTTCATAAGCAGTATGAGCCCAAAACTACAAGAGGGGAAGCTAGATCAGCACTGAACTGCATTTAACATGAAAAAAATATCTTTAAACCACACAAACTAAAGAGCCTATTTTCGCAACGTCTCTATTAAGAAGGACAGGCTCCCAGCCTCTCTGCTAAAACTCCATCTGTTTCACAATGTCCTCTCAATCACACAGAGTTGTTGTGGGGATAAAAGGGAGAGAGGTGGCAAGCCACAGCTCAGACACCATTGTGAGCTGTTTGAAGAAAGGAGAACCGGATTCACCTGCAGTTGGCTAGAAAGCCAAGCGGCATCTTTCCTGGTATCTCTATGGTTCACCAAAGGATCTGCACAAGGCTTTTGGGAAGTGCTACAATACACAAATACTGTTTTGTTGGTTTGTTTCTAAAGCACTTTCTAATCCACCTGCTGCACAATACCCAGAAGGCTCTATAGGGATAAGACGAGCTACAAAGCCAAACTAGATCTGTACATACAGCACACTTTTCAGAGTCTATGGCAGGACATCAGGAAGTGAGGAGGCAAATGCCTTCAATCAATGCACTGCACTTACATAGCCAAAAGTGAAAATATGTTTTTATTGTCACCAGAGCAAAAGCAGAATAATCCAGTATGCCTAGGAAAAAAAAAAGGGGGGGGAGTTACACATGCCTATTAGCCAGAATATTAAAATGGAGAGGTAGGATTGCAGCACACATGGGCTGCTCTAGGCATCGAACCAAAATTCTCAGAAGCAAGAACAGAGACCAATAGAGACTGGAACGCTTCAAATTAAAATCCCCATTTGGTTTTTAATTAACACTGCTAGGAGGCTGTCACCATTTCAAAGCAAAGGCCTGCAGATGTAACTGGTCTCCTGGCTTTGTGGCAATCTCCTTGATCATAATCCCAGTTCGCAGTTTCCAGAAGCAGCCCGGCCTAGTGGCTACTTGGGTTGCGCTGGCCTCACGCAGTGGGTGTTGCCCGTCTGCTTCTGTGTCCACTACTACAGAAACGACCTCCTTCCGGAGCTCTGTTGGAAGTACGAGCAACAAAAGTTTGCTCATGGCCCAAAATGGTCCTTCCCCAGAATAGGGCTGGGATCACAGTGTGTAGGATGTTTGCATTGCCACTGCCTGTGCAGCAGGCTTGCCAAAATCCACAGCAGCTGAGGCATTCAGGTCAGGTAACAAGCACAAAAAAGTAAAGCTACCCTACGTTTCGATGGCTCTTCCGGTGGTAAAAATAGCGGCTGAATTGTCACTTCTATTTATATGCCCATGTGTTAACTGTCCTGGTTGCCTTACAAGGCCGGGCAGCTCAAGCAGCCACGCTGGCGCAGGCTGGGTACCACAATTTTTAGCACATGTTGAAAATTATTGCTTGGTACCCGAACCAAAGAGTGAGAGGAAATCTATGCAATCCTTCATTTTTAATAGAGGTAACTATCCAAACGGTTTCCTCCCCTGCTTATATTCCCTTCCACCTTTCTAAGCCAATTCTGTCACTTTTCTCTTCTCCCTTTTCTCTTCCCCTGGAAGCAGCACAAACACCCTGTTGCTGTACCACGCAGGGTTTGGCAGAAGAAGATGCAACTCTGTAGAGGAAGGAGCACAGGCTTTGAAGGCAGATGACGTGCAATGAGTTCCTCTTCTCTTTAGGCTATAGGCTTCCGGAGATAATAAGCAACTGCAAAAGACTGTCTTGGAGGGTGACCATCGGAATAGTCAGGGCAGACAAAACTGTTCTGGCACAAGGCCACTGCCTGAACAGAACCTAGAAGTGTTTCGTTTTTGCATGATAACTCCCTGAATCGTCTAGCCACCACACTTAGTGGCCTGGATGAGAGGTTCCAAGAGTCAAATGCCAAAGTCTCACATTTTTCAAGCTCCGATTCTAGGGCTCTGGTAAAATGACGACACTGAACAGGAGGCCAATACTTGGACATAAAGAGGGAAATGTTACCAATATTTACCATTAACTAAGCATCTATAGTCAAACAAGGCACTAAACTGTGAAAGAGCATTAAACTTCCAGATGCAATGAAATGATGGTTGCCGTATCTTTAAATGTAGCACTGTGCATGCCATGCTTATGAACACAGAGAAGGTCCAGGAACAACATCATTTCCTTAAAGAGAAAGTAACAAGGGTTCTGCTGAAAATGCTAAATGGCTACCCTTCTATTTCCGAGCTCAGCATTAGGTGCTGATGCTTATCTTTAAAAGTCCTGAACTTGGGAGTGGGTGATATGTGCCCCTCCAGATGTTGTTGGACTACAATGCCTACCAGGTCTAGCTTGTGCAGCCAATGACGAGGGATGATGGAACATGCAGTTGCACATCTTCACCATCCCTGCTTCAATGATGGGAGGGAAAAAATTAGCTGCACAACAGCTGCTACAGGGGAGAGGATTTGTGAACATACCTTGCAATATACAGGTTTCTGTAGGCAGATTATAACTGGAATTTTAAACAAAACGCCCAGAAATCCTTAGAGTAGTTGGGTAGTTCTAGGAGCTGCCGAAAACTACAAATACGCAAAGCCTTTATTTCTGCACTGAAGGGAACAGCTTCAACTATAACTCTTTGGTTTATACAACTGGGTTTTTTCCACCCTAAGGGACAGAATTTAATTTTAAATAACGTCTTCCTAGATTACAGCTTGGCCACTATGTCACACTAGCTTTACTACTACATTAGGGTATTATGTACACAATATGTTCATCCTACATACTAACAATGAACACATTTCTTCAAGAGGGCGAAATTTGCTTCCTCGCTGCTGCCTATCCAGCAAGGAAAGACCCTTTCATTTAGACAGGCCTTCTGCAATTAGCAGCCTCCTAAACAAAGGATTTTAGCTGATGTGCTGGTTCTCTTTTGTAAGACAATCTATTGTTAATATTGTAATTAAGATATTTTAATGTGTTTTGCTTTCAACTGTACTTTAATAATCTAATGAGCTTCATTCTATTTCAATACTTGGTACTTACAGTATTTTAATTTCAGTAATTTTTAACTGTAATGTAAGCTGCTTTGGGTCCTAGTTCTGGGAGAAAGGCAGCATATAAATAAATCAAATCAATTAATTAAA